ATTTTCTGTTGTACCATGCGCTCATCCGATCGAATGGAACGCTAATTGGTATTTTTGAGACCGAGAAGGTCATTTGAACGCGAACGTGGATAGCAGAAAAAGAATTTGACCCATCACGAGCTACTTCTTGTGTTGTTTAAATATGTAACGGTCATGGAAGACTCCTAGTCATCATCGAGAGCTTAGCATCAGGATTCTGGATCTCTTTTCAACATACGAAGACGCACGGCCAAGTTGACGTGCGATTTCGCAATTGGAAGGTTCAGCAACATGAGGACTCCATATCTGTGCTTGGTCTTCTTCAGAAAAACGCTTGCCGTGAAGAGGAATGATGCCAGAATAAGTAACGAAAGGAGAAGTAAAAATAGGTTAGGAAATCGATGCAAAAACTTCATCTGCCTCAGGGTGTCCACATAATTTTGATACAAAGAAAAAAATTTCCATGAAAAATAGTTCGCTAAGTTAGAACGAAATCTTTTGCCGAAAATATCATTGTAGGTTATCGACCACTAGGAGTTGAATGGTGAAGGTTTCATGACATAAAAGCCTTTAGCTGACCCCTGAGAATCGATTCTAGGGTGTCCACATACTTTTGGTACGCACTGTTTTTTTATTTTTTTTATTACAAACAAGGAACGGTATTTTCTAGAGCTTCTGGAAGTTGTGAAGCCTACGAAGGTGCCATGAAGGCGATGTATCATTTGTTGCAAAACCCAAGGCACAAGGAAATCGCTTGAAATCGCCGCACAGACCGTGATATTTATAACGAAGACATCTGTGTGAGCTTCATATTGCTCAAAATATTTTGAAATTTACCACTAAAGTTTGCTGGTGAAGCGTTCTTGAAATGTCATTGCTATTGTGAGAGTACTGAGTAGTAAGGGCGAAGTTGACACGAGGGCACGTATTTCGAGTTCTTGTAAAATCAAAAGCAACATCAGAATAAAACTGGTATATTAGAGCGCACCATAGTGATGGATGAATTGTGAATCAACTAAAAGTGGAAAAAAAGCAGAGGAGTCATCGGAAACGCTAAAATTAAGGCCTTGACCTCCAGTAAAATCGGATGTAGTACGAGGGCGAGAAAAACGATTAAGAAGACAGAACACGCGAGAGAGCACCTCCGTTCGAGAGCGCGCTGATCTCCACATCAATGGCTTGTGGGTGGAAGTTGCAATAAGGGCCGATGGTTGCAGCACCTTAACGATTAGCGCCCTAATCGCGCATTTTGTGTAATGGGTGTGGTACGCTTTCACTACAGGTTTCCTCGCAGTATTTCTCCTACTAGCTAGGTAATCTCGGGGCTTGCCTTCAAAGAACTCTCATCCGGTCTGGGAACATATGTAATTTTACAAGGAAGTGAATGTATAAAATATCAAAAAATGTAAGTAATCAGAAGACAAAAAATAATAAAACATTGTAGTGTATAGTATAAGAAAATAATGCGTAATGAAAACAAGAAACAAAACGCGCGCTCGCATGTGGCTCATCATGGTACGCAGATATTGTTTGGAGCGACACATGAAGGCGCACAGTCTTTTATGTGTCTAGGGTGCAGGTTGTCTCCTTTCTAACATTCCTTAATCGCTAGAACAGATATCTGTTGTGCAAGCAGTCCGTGAAAAAATCGCCTCACCTGCGCGTACAGAAGAATATTCTTCTTGAGCAATCTTGTCTCACTCCCACTCAATGTGGCGGATAGTTTCTGAAATTACCACGGTCACTCATACAACGATGTGGCGCCCAGCTCTATTGGGGGTGCAAGGTGGAGAAAGCGCAAAAAGCCGTTTAGCTTACCTTGAAAATAGCCAAAAATGCAATGGTATCAAGTATAATGATAATGATACACAAACTTGTTCCATGTACGAAATCCACATAATGGGAAAGAATACGACCGCACTTCGTCTCAGCGTACACAAAAACTAACGAAGAAGCATCTAATATAAAATCGCATCCATCTGAAAGTTCAAGCTTGACTTCGCAATTACGAATGTGAACATGAACCCGTATAATTTTTCACTGCATTCTTGGAAAAACACTCTATTTCTATTCATCTACCATTTCAGCGATACGGGTCGCCATAGCGTTGATGAGGTGACTTAAAAGAATCCAACAAGATGACGCCAGCGGCTCACAAGCGCGACATTTGCATCAGCTTATGCATGCGAGACGTCCCATGTTGTGGTTTATTTCCTGAGTAGAACCATCACGAGCGAGAGGAGCGGATATGGGTCATCACACCGCTGCACCAGCTGTGACTTGTTAAGTTCAACAAGCCATACCCGGTACGGTGTGACCACGTTCGGTCGGCAATTACAAGCGGGTCCCGCCTGTGGTTTGGACATTTGAAGAAAATGCGGGATCTAACACTAGATAGCAAGGCAATTAGAACAAGCCAAAGCCTGTTGACAGAGCAAATGCATATATAAACTGCAGTGGTGACAGCGCAAGAATGAATCAAACTTCTCACTGGTTAGAATAATTACAACTACACAGCTGTTCAAAATAGCATGGCCACCTATAATGAAACAACCACCTAAAATTGTTCCTAAAAATCATAAAGTTTCTGAAAACTGTCCAGATAGAAAATGTGACAAATTTCATGGCGAGTTCAGATATCAACACAAAAATCCATGTCGAAAACACTAAAAAATTTTGTGCTTATTTTTTCAGAAGAGGTCGATTTTCCTATGTTCAAAAATGATACAGCCACCCCGTGTTTCTTCGTTGAAATTCATTTTTGCTTCATGAAACTGATTCGCAGTTATCAGGCTTTCACCTTAATGTTCCCACAAGATAAAAAAGACAGTTTGGTTTTGAAAAAGGTAAACTGTAGCAAAAAAGGACCAGGAATCGTCAAGCAGTCATATTGCGCAAAAATTGAGTCAAAGCTCCAATACGGTTAACAATCTTTTCTGGAATCCTGTAGGTTATGGAACAAAGAAGAGCTCTGGATGTTCATCATTGCTTTTTGGTCAAGTTTAAACTTCGCATTTTGGGAAACATTTCAATTTCATCGAACAGTGCCCGGAATTCCAGTCTTCTTTCAGAATTAAACTTTCAATGGATATTGTTTGGGATGTGTTGAAGATTTTCCGAGGTCATTCTTCAATGGAGAATTAAAGAAACCTTGTTTGTGAAAAGAAATTCTCTCGAAAACACATTTTTTGCTCGAAAGTGTAGCCACGTCCACTGGAGCAAGATCAGTTCTTTTGTCCGTTATGCCTTACTTTCTGTCTGCGTTTCTCTCGAATGTTTTTCGCTTCATAGGAGTCTAATGAAAGGAAAAACCTTTTACGAGGAAGGAAAAACTCGAAAGAAAGTTAACGAAAAACATTGAGAGAAACGCAGACAGAAAGTAAATCATAACGGACAGAAGAATTGATCTTGCTCCAGTGGCGTTGCTACAAAATGTCTCAGTTTTCGACAGGATTCTTTCACAAACAAGGTTTCTTTAATTCTCCATTGAAGAATGACCTCGGAAAATCTTCAACACATCCCAAACAATATCCATTGAAAGTTTAATTCTGAAAGAAGACTGGAATTCCGGGCACTGTTCGATGAAATTGAAATGTTTCCCCAAAATGCGAAGTTTAACTTGACCAAAAAGCAATGATAAACATCCAGAGCTCTTCTTTGTTCTATAGCCCTACAGGATTCCAGAAGAAATTAATAACCGTATTGGAGCTTCGACTCAATTCGAGCGAGCGGAGTCTAACTGGTTATTATATAAATTATCAAAGAAATTGCGCCTAAAACGTTTCTGAAAAGCGTTGAAGTGCACATTTAACTCGCCAGACAAATTTGGTAATGTACAACAGAGTCTCGCTCAACAAGTGCAGGAAATAAATGTTCATTTCTACTGAATCGACACTTTTGCTATGACTTCGCTTTTGCTAAGAGATCCACCGTAAGTCTGCTAATTATTGTGTTGTAGAGAACATCTGTATGTATTATACTCATTCACAGTGTAGCAGAAATTCGCGACAAGGAAAGAGCACGTTCCACCACCCTGTTCTTGAGCTACAACATAAAAATCAGAAGAACATAAGTACTACCCAAAAAATGGACAGCGGCCTGGCCAACAGAAATCAGCCAAAATATCGCCAGAATTTGTATGGTTCGTCGCGTCGAAAACATGGATCTGTAATGCATAGCATAATTTCATAGAGACTCACAAGTAATTATTGATATCCGTGGTAAAGTATTATTATCCGTGCATAAGGATCGGTCACTAGCAGCTTCGGGTTGACACAAGATACAAGGGGACAACGACACCGAAGTTGGTCAAAATTGGTACAGCCAACCCGTCATTTGAAGGAATCCTTCTAAAACATCATGATCCTATCCCAACCGCTCTAACCACTGGCTTGAGACCCATCGTCACGATAAGAATGAAAGAACAAAAATTGCATTTGTTTTGGTAAACAATTCGAAAAACGGAAGGACTGCTACGCGTTCAAATTCCCGCCGGACATCTGTCACAAATGCTGGCGGCGGGAACGCTTCCACTTGGTTCACGGAGTGCTGTCACTAGAAACTTTTTCCTTTTGACTTATTGCACTAACATCTCACACTTCTACTGCATCCTATTCTATCGATCGTTTGTCTCATCTCCAAAATCGCACGCTTCAACCAATTCTTTCATGCGTCGCTGATACATAGCCAGCACAATTCCAGGAAAGATTTCTTTAGGCGCCGGAAAAGGATTTGAAATCGGGCCGTCGTCATATTCAAATTTTGGTCTAAGTCAAAAGGGTACCACACTGTTCGAAAGAAGTAGCAGTGGATGCACTAAAATTAAGACTGTATAGTGGAGGAGGCAAGAGTTCGTTATCATCCTGACGTAGATTTCTTGTATTTTACTTAAATCGACTTACCACTTGCAGCGCTTGATTCGGAGGCTTCAGGGCACTCTAGAATTTCTACTTCGGATAAGCTCTTACGCATTATTACCGAATCCTTAAAGATAGTGGTGATTCAGCAATCATTTTGAGGAACTACATTACGCGATGGATATCGAAAACTTCATAATCTAACGAAAGATGCATATGCCCAAAATCATACTTGTACAAGATTGGTGATATGATAGCCAAAAGACGATTGAGAGCGGTTTGCAGCTGACCATATATTGAAGCATTCCAGAATATAGTGCAGAACTGGCCTATTCTTCCGGCGAGGTAGGATTGAGTTATCTGATCTGAGAAGCCCCTAAATTGAATAACCGCTCAACAGTTCTGATTTTGTGAGTCAACCAAAAATATTGAAGAGTTGCTCCAATTCATTCAGCCTCCCCTACATTAGCAGCACACAAGCTACCACAGCAGGATAACGAACGTACAGCAGTGCAGCCGGAGCAGTCCAAAATGAAAACACAGTGAGAACGCCCACATCAGCGAGCAAATGTGAGGCACAAATAAAACCAAAAGAGTTGTGTAATGATGGTGTGCGGTATATCAGGACGATAGCCGAAATATTAAGCGCATTACCAATAAGGCCCACCTAAACACGCACTATTAAATTTGATGTTCCGAAGAACTTCTGCTGCAGTTTCGGTTTCTTTACGGGTCAGGCGAAGGCTCGGCGAATTATTTACAGGTAACATCCTGCGTTGTTACTGATATATTTGCGAGCTTAGTAGTTTGGAACGGGTTCTCCATTGGCCAATTTATCACAAATATTGTACAATTGTTGTATTTTTCGTAAGATTTGGTAATCATATACTTCGTTCAGGATCAAAACCATGGCTCTGAAGAGTGCAGTTGAAGAGTGAAGGATGAGCCTACAAATCTCACCGCTCACGTATTTCGAGATACTTCTTTGCCAAAGAGGTCCACAATAAGTGTGATTGATTTTCTTTCGCTTATTACCGGCACCTGTCGGATTTCCACTTCGCGAGGTCGAGACCATTCGGAAGACCCTCGTATGAAGGAGTGACCCGCTCTCTATTCATCAGTTCCATGCAATGCCTTGCAGATAAATTAGTAGTTGTTGCCCCTAAGTTCTTCGGTCGACTAGGTCAATTTCTCGAGGTTCCAGAAACAGGTGAAATCAAGATCTGTTGTGGTGATGGTGTTTTTGCGTATCGCAGCATTGGCAGTCGCCTGGTGTGTGTTGCAGCCATTTTATATAAGCTTCAGTTTTGAATGTTTCCCAGAGAAACTTCCGGGATGATTTACCATGTAGCAAAACTCCAGCGCTTGAGTACCCTTGCAGGCAGACTACACTGCGTTTCATAAATATAGGTCCACCCTAATTTTTGCTATTCCAAAGTTGCTGTGCATTTTTGGAAAATGCCGCTATTACCAATAGTTTCCCCATAACGAAAAACCTTGATACTTGATTTCTGGAGAAATCTCGATTCAGAATTATTAAAATATCTTCCTTAGAACGTATTTTCACCGTTTCGCAAATATGACTACACATCACTTGTCGAGAGATTTTACTATAACGAAAAAACGTCACGAATTTTCAATAATGGGATGACCTCCCAATAATCATAAGGAACACAATAATACGTTTTGGAATGCTGGTAGCCAAATTAGCTATTACAGTAGGATCGAAATTCGTCTGGGCGCCGATGATCGACGTTTTCAGCTCTTTCGGCTGTTCCATTTTGCTTTACTTTGCTGTGGAACTTTATAACAATTAAGGCCCATGATTCTCAGATAACATGGTGGCCACCAGATAACTGCCACATTTTTTCCTGCAATTCCATCTGGGGCGGAGGGACCGGCATGGACAGCCGCGTTATCCTGCGTAAAAATCAAGGATCAAGGGGATTGTTGTCGAAAAAA